CCATATATTAATGTGTGCTTAAAGTCAGGATCCAAAGAAGTCATTGGACATATAACAAAAACCATGAAAATATTTCTGCTTGTTGATGTTTTTGTTTTTCCTAAAATGGATGATTGTCTGAAGCTCTTAGTGATTATATCAGGAAATGGGCATGGGTCATCACCTTCAAAATAAAAATGGCCAGATGTTTCAGTACCCCAGTCTAGACTTTAACCTTAGACATATGGGCTAAAATATTCATTGGCCTTTATTGTGTTGAATTTTAAAAGCCTTGCTGTTTAAAAATAAAAAAGCATTGAATTTTAAATAACTCACCTGAAGAGTTCTTCAGGACTGGGACCTGACATTGCCATCAGCTGTTTCGGTTATTTTAGGCAAACTAACTATATGAAAACACTTGTTTTAAGACTTTTAAAGATTTCAAGATATTTTCCCTTAGAGACATATGACTTGAATAATACTTATTGGGGGTAGGTATAATGAGGAGTATGTATCCCTCGACCCCTCTTATTCTTTCCTTGCTTTTGACCTGAACTAAGCAGTTGAAGTGTATCAAGCACTCCTGTTAGTGTGGCTGTGATACAGCAGTGCTGTTGGATTGCTTAGCTACATCTAAGTGTTACCAAGTAACTTCCGCAGCTTGGGCCAAAGACCACCTATACATACAAAAGGTGCCTGTAGTAATTAGGGAAAAAAATCCAGCCAATTTTTACAACTTAAAACATTGGACTTATGTTTTATAATTACAGATGACCTTAACGTAAGCGGTATCATCGCTGCTGTAGTATTTGTGGCTCTGGTAATGGCATTGTGTGGCCTTGGAGTATTTTATGCCCAAAAAAAAGGCTACTTTACAAGTAAGTAAAATAAAATCACTCCTTCCTCATGTCAAAAAAAAAAAAAATGTCTGTACTTCTGTAACTGTAACATGTCCTCCTTTTCGTGAAGGCTCTAACTCCATGGTACTAAGGCTAAAGAGCATTACAACAGCAACTTTTTGGTGCAGACATTTTTATTCTGACAACTTCCACTGCAAAAGATACTTCAAGAATGACACGGAGATGTTTGTGCAGTTGCATAAGGCTACCAAACAGCAACCTAGGGAAGGCAACGAGCCGAACCCTGGTTCCTGGAGCCTCTCCGCTCTAGTTTTGAGAAGGAATGGCAAAGAAAGGCAACATAAAACAAGCCGTGCAAGTTCACTTTCAGTCTAAAAGGTCTGAGCGGCTGAGTTCTGAAGGGGAAACTAAATTACTGGCTCCCTCTTCTGGGTCGTGGTGAAAGTGCAGGTGAAGAAAGTTTGCTTTTAAGGATTGCTGCAAAAAGCTCGAGACCAAGCAAGCCTCTCTGTAGCGGTTTCACTAGTGCCTGTAGAGCTCAGCACAGCAAGAAGGGATGCCAAATGCCGGGGTCTGAGAAGGTCCCCTGCCTGAAAGCAACAGGCTAACGGAGCTGCTGTTAGAGTCCATGTTCACTTGGAAGTTCATTTACCTTTGAAAGCAACCTTACCTCTTTCCATTTAAACTCACTGCACCAAAAAGAGACGTTTCTGTTCAGAAACTCCTTCTAGAAACTGAAGAGCTGAATGAGCTATGAATAACTATTTCAAAGAACTTTAAATCAGCTAAGGAAACTGTTCTTGTGCTAATTCTTTTTTTTTTTTTTCTTTTTCAGAGGAAAGCTCTTCCCAGTAAGTACCTTGATACAAGTAGTACACAAATCCCTGCAAACTTCATTTATATTTCTGATAGTTTAGTAACTGTGATGATCGTTTAAGGCCTTTCTCCCATGGTTCTTGCACAGTGGCTTTTTTGAACGCTGAAATAAACCTGATCCTACACACCAGCTGGTTCCCTTATTAGAACCAGTGTGCTGGTCAGAAAATGAATTAAGCATTATTACTGTGATAAATGGGCAGAGATGTGTCTTTTTACATAGTTATGGTTTACACTCCTAACTCAGCTACATGCATGCATTTGTCTCCTCTTCAAACTAGACAAAAGATGATCAGAACCAAATTGAACTGTCCTCATATTCCTGTCTACAGATTATTTCAGGAAATGTTTTGCAAAAATATGACTGGTGGAAACTTTCTAAGTATGTCTGGTCTACTCCTTTGATATGGATTTATTTCATGCACTTACATTTCTTAGTAGCAAGTCAGAATTCCTCAAGCTATTTTAGTGCTCCCACACAAGGCTAAAATTGTGTGCTTCATTGGAGGCTAGCCTCCAATTTTTTTTTTCTTTTAAAAGTTTGTCTTAGCACTTCTAGGTAATAGCAGGTAAAAAAAAAAAAAGAATAATGTACTAAAGAGAAATACAAATATTACTTTAAAATACTCTGAGATTTATATTGGCTACGAACTAGACAAAAAGCATAACTGGAAGACTTGAAAAGACAAGCTAGGGAAGGCAATTTGACAGGGGCTCATGCGATAATGACCACTATCTACAAGTATTTGATGGATTTGTTATTGTTACTTTTTTCTAAGAAGGGAAAACCCTAAGGATTGCTGGAAATCTGGAAAAATGCATTCATAAATAAGGTTCTCAAAGGGTTAAAACACCAGAAAAGTCACTATTTAACCTATGTTCCTTTCCTGTTCTGTTAACAGAAAGAAGACCAACTATCAATCTACGAGTGAGAAGGCAAGCATTTTGCATTCAGTAGTGTGTTTAAAAAGTTTTAGATGTCTTCAAAATTCCTTAGATCTGTGGTGTTTTTGCACACATACATCCCCCCCCCCATACCTGCCAAACCATCCATGCCATCAACACCTGGAGACACCTTCTCTCTGTTTGCATTTACAGCCTCCTATTACTCAGTCTCAAGTGCCATACACCTACAGCACCTTGCTCCATACTTTGCCATCTTTACCACACTAACCAGGTTTTTACCTGGTTGTCTTACCTTCTTCTTCCTACGTTTCCCTGTTCTATTAGCTTCTTTCAGTCTTTTTCTTTCCCATTTTTGTGATTATTTTCCCTCTATCAGATAAAGTAGAGAGGTAACACCTTTGCACTATTTGGGAATATCATCTCTATACTGTCCACTTAATGATGCCATTTTTTGTGAAGACTTCCACTCTGCCTTGCTTGTATGTATCAGTTAACCAAGGAAACTAACTCAGGCACAGTCCAAGGCAGCAGTGAGAGAAAGACTGGGCCTTAACTCCTCGGAGATTAATGTGGGTCAAAAGGCTTGACTAAGTATAGAAGCTAAACTTACTACTTTTTTCCCCCCTTCCTCATTGAGAGGGCTCAAGGGTTTTAACTGCACGTACATTGCTCCAGCTTTTCAGATCAGTGCAGAAAGAATGGAGCTCCAGCGAAAGCTTCAACTAGGAGCAACTTAATTTCACTATCTATAGTTTAAGGCTACATTAGTAGCCTTAAAAGCTCGCTGAACGCCACCCATTTCTTTAACCAAAACAACATACTAAATAGCATAAGCTTATTCCTTCACCTAGTATGTATATAAGAAACTGAGTGAGGCCAGCTACCTGGTTGCTCTGAGTGGGAAGGAGCAAACTTTGAAAAGCTGTGGTATCTGTTGATCAATATTAATGCACTCATGAATCGGATGCTCACCAGAGCTGATTGATACTTGTACGTTTTAATAGGTTGTTACTTCTATTCTGTGTAGCAGTGCTGCAGACCTCCCTTTTCCAGAAAAGAGTAAAAAGTTAACCAGCAGTGCTTCAGACCTGCTTCTTTTCAATCTCCATCCCTTAGTTTCTTCAAAATGTACACTAAATGTTAATCTGGTTAAAATCTTTGAACTACTACTTATGTAACTTTCTTTGCTTCATTTAGGATTTCAAGCATACCAAGTCCTTTGTTATTTAGAAGATTTCAGCCTCTGTGAGGGACATCAAATGACTACTTGTTATACAAAAGTATCAAAGGGATCTTTTGACCTCTACTCTGTAAATACCGTTTCCACGTACTACATGCTGAAAATAGAAACTGCCCGTGTTTAGATCTAGTCAACCTGTCTGTGACTGCTTTTTTAAAAAAACAAAACCCAAAAAAACTTAACTTAAAGATAGAACTAAATTGAATATGTAAGTCAACTTGTGTGAAGACTTCTCATTTTGTCCATGTATACCTGCAGCAATACAGGATTCACTCTTACAGCTTGGAACAATCTATTCAAATAACTTTGAAAAGTTATTAAAGTTATTAAACCTTTAAGTTTAATAACTTCTGAAAAGTTATTCAACCACTATTTCTACTACTTATGTCTCTACCACTGTCAAGGGCTCAAACTCTCCTGCAATTCTGACGTGTTAGTACCTTGACATTGCCAAAGCCATCTGTAAGTGCATAAGTAGTCATGCAGACGTAAACTCACTATCCTGACAGAATAAAGCTTCCTGTAATTGAGGCTCAAGCAGTGTTTTATTGTATAATATAAAATGCCTACAGCTTCTCTCCCAGAAGGAACTCTCTCTCTCTGTAGACTGTCTATGTAATTTCACTCTGAAGAAAAATCACGCCAGTACAACTCAAGCTGTGGTATCTGGACCCTAACTGTTGAAATGTCACAAATAAATAATTCCTCAGAACCTGAAGTGTTCGTGTCAATAGTTCAGTTACTGAAATTTAAATCTCACCACCTCATTGACAGGTTTCAGTTGCTTCTGTAAGAATAACACTTCATCATTTGTGTGTTCATTGATGCAGTGTAAAATTAGTGTATTTGTGCCTATGCTTTTGGCTGTGCAGGTCCATCACTACCATAGGGCTTTGCTACAGATTTAGGGTTTGTGGGTTTTTTTTCTGCAGCAGCTTTTTGGATGTAACAAACCCAGAAAAACACATAGTTCCTTCTTGGTGTATCATTATCAGTGTTATAACTTCTCAGCACCAAAATGTAGCTTGGCAAAGGAATTTTGCAGCTAACATCATTAGAAACACTACTCAGATGCCTCAGTCACTTAAAGAACTGACGATCACAGCTAACTGTGCTCACCATGAAGAAGTTATTCACACTTCTGAAATCAAACTGAAACACTGCATTTATTAAGTTACAACTGGTGCCATGTTCAGCAACTCCATTGATGTACACTGCTGTTTGCTGCACAACCTACAGAGATCACTTTGGAGTCTCCTCAAAGTTGGGCTCTAAAGGAGGAAGGGGAGAGAGAAAAAAAATCATATTAGTCTCTTTTTGTTCCAGCCTCAAACACCACAATTCATCTGTTATTCAAAGAAAAGTAAAGATTAAGTTGGCAAGCTAAAGCAAGCTCTTGTACATTGCAGTCTACACCATCACTTACTTCTTATCAAGGCTTGATTGGAGGTGGGCAGCACTAAAGAATAAACTACGCTGGAGACAGGTCTTTTCTACCTTGGAGGAATTATGCATAAGGTTTAAGACAGACACGCACCTTAGTAACATTCTGCCAAAACAGCTTTTAGCAGTCAACCAGAACATTACTGGACATGACACTAGTATTTCCAACACAGCTCTGATATAAGAACAAGTAACCAAGCTCTTCTCTCCTCTTGATTAGTATCTTATAGCTGATTAACAGAATGGAGCGCACAATTTCAACTCCACGCAGCAAAAGTGCTCTCCACATACAAACACTGAGGAAGGAGTTCTTGATGTCAAAGGTACAAACTCAGAAGGGTTAGAGCTTTTGACAGGTGGGCTGTTAACGCCTGTTCTCCTTGCTACAGAGTCTGAGAGGTAAGGCTCAGCTTATCATAATCTTCACTAAGACAAAAAATCAAGTATCTAGCCACTTAGTCTTGAAAACTTGTTGAAATTAGATTAAGGACAGGCAACAGTGGTAAAAAAAACATGGTCTCACAAATTTTGCTTCATTATGAAAAAATCCTAAACTTTAATATGTATTGTTTCACATACTACATAGAAATAAAACTGAATATAAAGAAACCACATCCCTAAAACTGGGGAAAAAAAGAGAAACGCCACAGATCCTACGTTACAGGTGATCTGTTTAATTTGCACCAGTAACAATCTGACACTAAATTCTTCCTTAATCCAACTGAAATACCACCAAAACCCAAAACATTTTTAGGTGTGTTTCTAGTCTAAATTAGAATTTCCAGTTTTTCTGATCAGGATTACAAGTCACTGACTATGGTTGCTTGACCTTGGCTGGCTGCCACACGCCCACCAAGCCTCACACTCCCTCGCTCCGTCTCTCCCTCCCTCCACAGGAGGGCTGACAACAGAGACAGCGTTTTTCACCCTTTTTTATATATGTTGTCACAGAGGCACCACCAGCATCGCTGGCTGGCTCAGCTGTGTCCTGCAGTGCGTCCATTTTGGAGCCAGATGGAACTGGCTCTGCCTGATGTGTGGACGCCCCCGGCCTCTCCCAACAGAGGCCACCCCTGCAGCCCAGCTACCAAAACCTTGCTGCATAAACCAAATACACTGGCACGTTCAAAAGATCGCTGAATCCCAGCTACCAGCTGCTTATGAGAAAGACAGCTTACCCCTCACAAAACCTGACGTTAGCTAAAACTGCAAGTAAGCAATGAAGACGTTGAGCTGTACTTACATATGCAAGCAAAAGAAACAAAGAACTATAGGAATGAGCCTGTCTGTAAAAAAATTAAGTTGCCTTTATGTCCTAAGGCAGACAGACTGTGCAGTTTCTTTGCGTTCTTGATAAACCAGTTGTCACAAGCATTCTTCTTGTCGTAATCAATCTGAGTAATATGGAAACATGCTAACACAAACTAAGAGCAGTTAAACAGAGGTCATATCCAAATAACTGAAGAAAAAAGTTTTATATAATTTAGTCACAAAGTAATAAGTAACAAAGTTAAGTTCTGTGTTCATTTTCTGAAATCACCAACTTCCCAGATGAGTTTACAAAATTTACAAATTGCAGTTTGGATGACATAGACAACTCATTTTCAAATTATAGTCTGCTGACCTCTTTGGGAGGATGAGAAAAAAATATAACAACAGGCCCTGCGCTATTTCTATTTGGGCTATTTGTTTAGGATCTGTGAAGGGTAATTAAGACAGCCTGATCTGACTGCAAGTTTTGTTAAGCAACAGTATAAATAAGTCCACATCTCTACTGAAAAAGGCAAATAATCAATAAAAGGAGTCAGATGGAATCAGATGTGAACTGTGCGAAAGGAGATTCACTGAAGGCATCTTACATGAATTTAATGGTCCAAATAAAAACTAAATGGGAATTAATTAAGAAAACTGCTCACTGAACATGTTCTTACTTGCAATTAGAAATTCAGTAAGTTTGTTAACTCACCCTCAAATTTAAATTCTGGAAACTTGGTTAGGTCTCCCTCACCATACGCCCGCTGAAGTCTAGCAAGGGATTCATTCATGTCCTTCTGAAACTCAGGGCCGGCATCCACAGGCCCTCCAGCTTGCCTAAAAAACATCAGAAGTTCTTATTAACAGTTCAGTTCTGAAATTTCATGCGGAAGTCCTACATTTTCATGGCCACTGACGAATTAAAAACCTTTTTGACAACCAACTAAAGTAAACCATTTAAAATACTTCCAAAAGTCAAGATATGACACCCCTTAGGGCCTACTTACCTTACACATAAACAAGGTTCTCAGGGTAAAGTACAGGCTTTCTGCTATCAATGATGAAAATCCAAGCTATGGAGGTGGCCTTTTGAGACATGAAACTACACTGAGTATCCAGGCTTCCAGGGCTCTTAGTTTCACTTGTTCCAGGTGTGATTCCTAACAAAATTGTGATTTGTACCTCTGCTATTTCTGAGTTAGCGATCTTGGTTAGCAAACCTTAACTGTTCTTGTGAAGAGAACATGTTTTGAACACTAAACAAGCAAAAAACCCCAAGAGACAGGGCACCTTGCATTCATATAGATTCAGACAGAAATTTCTTGGGATACAAATATAAAATAATTAAAATAGTAACTCTTTAGATTACCGATGTTGTACCAACACAAATATCACTTATGATTGGTAAAGCCACCAAAAATATACCTGCCTACACAGGCTAGTTTGTAGGTGCGGAAACACACATCTTCCTCCAGTAGAACTACGAAGTGGCTTGTTGCCTTCCCAAAAATAAATTACACAGAATTACTATAGTTTTAGTTTCCTGTTAAGTAGTTCATTCAAACACTACTAGAATCAAAGATTCCATTTGAATGAACTGCTTATTAACTTAAGATGTTTAATGAATCGGCCTCACAGTTCTATTAATTCTCAATTGCTTTTGGAGGCTATTTCCATTCAGCTTCTGGAAACAAGACTGAAGAATAGCTATTTTCCCCAAACAAAAAAAAGGGCGTTTTTTTTTTTCCCCCTCCTTATTTAGAGAGCACATAGATGAGTAAAAATTAACATATTAGTATGTTCACATAGTGTGCAAAAAAACTTAATTAAGTGCCTTAACTCCCCAAGAAGAATAATATCAGCTTTACTTTTTTTTTTTTAAAAGGGGAAAAAATGGACATTTTCTGTCAAGTATGCCAGAACAAGCCTTCTCACTTGTGACACTATCAAGAAGTGTGGCAGGAAAGCATACCTTAAGTATTTAGAGACCAACCTACAAAGCTAGCATATTTTAGCATTTGTCAAAACCAACATTTTTCCCCCTTTTGCCATCAGCTTTAAAATAATTTCCTTTACTTACTTGCTCTTTGTATTGTATTCTCTGATCTTGTCCACGAAGAGCTTCTGAACTGGATCGAGCTCTTTTGTCTTATTAAAGACAATAGCAGAAAGCCCTATGTTTCTGCGCAAGTGAATGGAAACAGCAGAGCGAAAAATGGAAGAAAGTCGCAGAATCTGATGCAGAATCATGATGACACTAATGTTTCAGCTAAAAAAAAAAAAAAGAAAGGCAAAACAGAAACGCAGAATTAGTTGGACTTTTTCCGGAATGTAAATGTATAAAGAAAAAACTTTAGTTCAGAGATGAGCTTTAAACCAGCAAGAATATTTACACCAGCATGCGATCTGGGGTGAGAGCTCAAGCAGCCGCTGAACCCAAAGGGCACCGCGCCACCGAGTAGGCTGCCGCACGTCCCCTTCGACTGCGCGCCGCGACCGACTTTGCTCGCCCCACCACCGAGACAAACGGGGATTTCAGGTTTTGCCTGGTTTAAAGTTACAATTTTAACCCAGTCAAAACCAGCAGCACCATCGACCGCCGGCCCCCCCGCCTCTGCCTTCATCTCACCCGCCCCGGGAACCCCCCGCAGGCGGCGGGGCCCGGAGGCTCCGTTAGCCCCCGGGGCCGGATGCCCCCAGCACC